TGAAAAGTGAACGATAAAGCGATAAAACATCCTTCACTTGCGCCTCCGGCACCTGTAAACATTATTATTTCAGCAGAATCTAAACAGCTGGTGTTTATGGTTTTGATGGTTACATCCCCCAAACAAGTCCAAAATTCAAAATCGTGTTTACCGTAAGCATCTAGTTCTCCATAACATTTGTCACTCATGGAAGGAAGTACAACGGGAATAAATACTTAGAACAGCTGTACACAGTCTGTTTCTCCAACTATGCAGCACGCAAGTTTTGTTTGACCAGTGTCGTACTGTTTTGTGGTAAGTTGCTGGCTATCCTGACATCCGCCTCGCCCCCCTGAACAAATTATCAGCTCAATATTTTCCTTAAAAAAAAGCATTTGGCAATGGATAGGTCGATTCGAGATTTCCGTGCTGCGCCCTGTGTATCATCATCTCGTTTCCAGCAATGCTGTTATTAGATTGCGACAAGATATCATATCTTGGCGACGTGGAGATACCTCACTGGCACAAACAGTAGTATAGGAACACTAATGAACGTGATATGGTGAGCAAAACATCAGTAAGCGCACTCCGGAACGACCGCACAACATCTGAGGAAAATGTGGACTTACGTGGATATTCAGCATCTGAAACAGCTCGTCAATTTTGTAACCGATAATAGTCATCTTCTCTTGGGCCAAATACAGGAGCTTCAGAGCAGCTCGTTTCAGTGATTGCTGGTTGGCTTTGTCGAGCCGCAAACTAGGTGTCTCGGCCATATCTTTCTTCATAATAGTGTTCATGAAGCAACTTCCATCCGTGTCTACTGCACATATCTGAGATACCACGCGTTCTCCGGCCTAAATTTAACAAAAACAATGAGCTAAATATTTCTATTTGATTTAACGTTTCAAGAAATCCTTACACTAACATCACAATATAGTAACATGTATTTTCACATTTCACTCAATCCCGATGCATTTTCGTCTTTACTGAGGAAAATTTTATGTGACCAAATAAGCAATTCCTTTTTGCAGATGGGCGGTGTGCAGGAAATTACAGCGATCATGCCAAAAAGGGAAATGATATAGTCAGGGCATGTTGCTCGTCCTGCTGACAACCGACGAAAGTGGCGTACTGATGAATATCATCAGCGAAAAAATGAACATTCAGGTGATGTGGTGGTACGCAGTTCTGGCAAGTTCAAAAGCGACCAGACATAAAACTATGCGTGCGAGCAGCATCAATGATGAAACTAAGTAACACAACAATGAAACTGTGCATCTTGAAGTATTTAGTATAGCAGTATTTCACTTACTGCGTTGAGAAGGTACTTAGCATGGACTGCAACTTGGCTTCCGCGCTTCGGTATCTTTATCAGACTTGATCCCATATCATTCCAAAAAACCGACTGCGGTATCAACGCCCGTTTCTCTTCATCTACAAACAGAACATCGCACTCTTTCATTTCTCACTAACTAAACATTCCTCAAACTTCTTACGGATGCAAATTCTAGGGAAAATGCCCTTCTAAGTACACTGAGGAATGAGAAACAGGCAAAAGCGCAAACCATAGGCGCAAGAGATGAAAAAGGCAATTTTTATGCGTTTTTTGCAGCTATGCAATGCAGAAAACGCATATTGACGAGGGGTTGTCTGTGTGACTGTGTGTGCTTCTGTCACGCACTTTCATCTCAAGACCTACAGAAGTTGCGGGGCTGAAACTTCGGGTACTTAATCTACATGCACGTGCCGTCTCCAATCCCCAAAATGGGCGCCAACACCAGCGTGGTACCCGCGTACGGGATCGCCAAAATTTTTTTCGGGTAAGTTCATATCTCGGCGATCTGAGAAGCTAGAACGCTGAAATCTTAGGGGATTGTTCCCCGTCCAATTAGGTATTAGTGGACTCAAACCCATCCCCCCGGTAAGCGCGGTACCCGCGTACGAGCTCTTGAAAATTTCTTCCGGGTGGGTTGCTAACTCGGGGATATGAGCTTTTTGAACGCTGAAATCTTAGGGCAATTCTTCCCATCCAAATAGGTATTAACGAGTTCAAACCCTGCTCGCAGGCAAGCGTGGTACTTACGTACGGGCCCGCGAAAGTTTCTTCCGGGTAGGTTGCTAACTCGGGAAAGTGAGAAGCTAGAAAACTGGGATTTTGAAAGGAATTTTCCTGAAAGTCCTGGCGGCCAGTCTGCAATTCTTTTAGCTGGAAGCATCTACCAGAAAAGCCAGTGCCGTGACAAAAGTCTGCGGGGAGCTATGCAAAAAAACACATCTTCGCACGGGCAGCCGGTGCGTTGGCCAATTATTTATTATAATATGTATATCACAGATACAAAATTGGTTTTTTCATACAAATCACGCGTCACGTACGCCTTTGCCTTTTTTCTTTTTTGTTTTTTTCGGTGAGCATAACAACTATGAAAATGAGAAGCTTGTCAGCTGTATAGATTAAAATCATATATGAAGTAACAGTGAAAAGTCAAAAACTCCTCTGCTCTGTATGAGAAAAAGCGGTACCTCGAAAGTGGCCCGAGCGGTTGCGCGCGTCAAAGGCAGTCACTCGGTGGCGAGGCTGTGGGCGAAAAGCTGATTACAGTTAAGCTGATGGCGAATTTGGCACCTTGGCACATATCAGTATAAATTTACCAATGAAAGAAATGAATGAATCCTAAAGGGAACTGTTCCGATGATGAACTACTGACTTTCTGCGCGTCAGCACTGTTACTACGCCATGCCCGCAAGGAACGATAATTTCTAGTATGAATACGACCAATTCAGCGAAGTGTTTAACTTGCAGATGCAGTTAAAGGCCTAGTTAATAGTGAGACAGAAATTTTCACGGGGCTGTACATTTTACCCGTGAGCAGGGGAAAGCTGAATTTAGATTTTCTGGGTAGCACACAGGTGGAGGGCATGCCCACAAAATTTCAGCCTTCTAGCTTCCGTGGTTCCCGTGGTAATAATTTTACCCGCCCAGCTTTTTTTTTCAGGAAACAATAAACGCTCACCATTATCAGATTGTTTATCCTGAACATAATACAGCACAGCCGGGACCTTCCAAGAAGCACCCAGATGTAATGCTTCATTTTCAGATACTCGGGTTACCAGCATATTATTGAACAATACCCAAGATGGATCCTAAAAGATGATACATGCAGCTATTGTAAGGTACTCTTGCACCTGATAAGACATCAAGGAGATGAGGAATTACAAAAAAACTGAAATACAATTCAAGTTAAATTAGAGCATGGAGTGGAATAAAACAAAAACCCACAAGGAAACGAATATTTCAGAACTAAGGGAGAGAAAAATCCTAGGCTTTTTATCAGGTACCAACGCAGTAAATGAATTCCTTAAATTCGAGGATGATGAAAGCTTGGACTCTATCGACTGCCAGACAGGGATCGTAAATCACTTCGGACGAGTGTCTAGCAGCAAATACTTCAAAAATTTTCTGCATACTTTGAAGAATACTTCAATTCTGTATGTTCTGCAAAATCTGCCTACCTGTTTTAGCCTGACAGCAGCGACCAAATGTTCAAATCTTCCTTTTGCTTCATTCTCGGTAATGATAAAGACGGCCGACTCAAGACGAAACCGTACAGATTTTTCAAGTTTCTTCTGAAACAAATAGAAAAACAGAGGTAAAAGAAAAACCGAACCCGTCCGCAATCAGTGATTAGCGGCTTGCACGCTGGCAGCAACATCCAAATTTATTTGCAGGGCAGAAAACTTGACTACAGGAATATATCACTGATC